CGGACTTTTTTTAATTAATTCACCTCGTAATTCACTTTGAAAAAACAAAATTTTTTTTGCAACCGACACAAAAGTCGTCCATTTTAATACCCAAATTAGCTCTTGAATTGACGTTTCTATTACTGACACAAACATAGGTATGTTGCTAGGCAAAACTTTTAGTTCCTAGGAGCTAAAGTTGAATTTTCGTTAGTGGTACCTCGGTACTCTCGGTAGGTACCTATACAAAAGTCTATATGCCACAAATGTCAACAAAAATACCCACTTGCCCTAATTTTATAAAGATAGTCATAAAAACTAAAAATGAATATATATACAGGGTGTTTCAAAAAAACCTAACCCCCTTGCTAGGGTAGGTAGAACATTGCAAAATAAGTTGGGTTTGCTCAGTGGAAAAATGTCGTAACGCCATCCGTTTTCATGATACAAGGTGGAATTTTTGTTGCAATTAAAAAAAATGGCTGCTCCAAGATGGCGGACAAGATTTGGTCCGATTCCATTCAAAATTGGTAAGTGGGGGTTTTTGAGGTCGGAGATCATGATTTTTTTGTTCAAATTTATGAATTCAAGATGGTGGCTTCCAATAACTTTTTGTTTTTGTATATAAATGACGATAACTCCGTTGTTATCAACACAAAACTATTACTGCAACATATCATCTGTAAGAGAAAAAAAAGTTATTTGTAACTAAGTCATAGTGAGCTATGACCTACATTTGAAAAACTAAAGTTGGTGCTGATATCTCAAATTCTAGAAGAGTTGGTATACATTTCATATTTTTTTCGAAATCACTTTGAAAAACTGCCATGAGAATGTGAAATTCCTATTTGAATATTTTCATAAATAAAGAAGTTACGGAGGAGACATGAAAATGATCAAAACCTGTTTTTTGCGTATAAAACAAGAACGAATAGATTTCATCAAAATATTTTTTCACATCATAGTTGGCCTTGACAAACTCCACATTTGGTGTCATTTAACCGACCTCGTATCTCTCACCGTTAAAAAGATACCCATGGTGAGCATGGTAAGTGGGACACACTGTATGTATAAACTCCATTGTCGAGTAATTCACGATTTCTTTCATTCTATTAAAGATCCATATGTTATTTTTCCCACCCTGAACTACGACCATGACTTGTGAGAACTTGAAATATTACGAACAATAACAACTTTTTCGTGGGAACAACTTCTACATGTAATAATCGAGCCTCCTACACAGTTATTTTAATATTATGCACATTTATTTTAATTTAGAAATAGGTATATGATTTATTCAATAAAGAAACATTATCAATCTTAAACAAAGAGTGAAGACAAGATAGCAACTGCATGTTGAAAAGAAGGTTTTTACCCCAAATAATACACATGGTGTTTCATAATCGTCTTGGCAACTCTGCATCGTATTCAAACCGATTCACACTATAGGAAATTAAAAACGTGAATTCAGATATTCAGTAAGTATATCCAAATAAAAAACCGAATTTTTATATTAATTATCATATACCTATACCAAACTCAAACTGAAAATAGTTCAAAATGTAACTATATGTACTATTATTATTATTCTATTAATTCTTATTTATTTACACTATTTGGTCCGGTAAACGTGGCAACACAGCATTCAGCACAGCATTGCCAAGTCCCTAGGCACTATAATAATATTATCATGGCTCGTATCAGGTCTAATGAAATATTTAATTTGGATGTAGTGTTGTTCAACGAAACACCTCTAACAACTCTTTAATAACTTGATTATAATTGGTGACTTGACAACCTTAGTGAGAATGGAAGATTATCTGACCAATAAGGGAACAGCATAACAACTGACGTCACTATGTCTCCCACGTATCCCAGAACATTGCCAAATGGTGGCCATGACGGCACCTTTGAATTTCGGAATGAGCTCTAAAATTCAACAATTTAGAATGCATAGACACATTATCTACCGAGTTATCTACATAAAAAAACGCGTGGGAAGTGGAGTAATTGAATGTCAAACGACACAGTGAAGTAATTGAATGCACATACTGTTATATCATCATTGGAATAATATTCATATCTGACATAGATTCAAAAATTGGTGACATAGTTAAACCCGAGGTTGAACCATGTAATGATAATATGCTGGTTGATTTATTCTTGTTAATTTGAAAGTGATCTATGGTTTTCGGTCGTTTATAGTGGTTTTCTTCATTATTTTGGTATCTCTCATTCATTTTCACAAGTTTATCAAAATTGGACATTTCATTCATAATGGACAAAATCGAATACACCCTGTTTATTACTCTGAGTACTTATGTGTCTGTGAAACGCTTGGAAACATGGAAAAGTTATCGTGGATTAGATGGACAATGTACTCGCCAGCATTTAGACGCATTTAGGCTATGAAAAATCAAGAGAAAGATGTTGTTTTGCCGCAAAATAAAGTAGCAGTGGATAGTAGACAGATAATGTAACTACCTACTCGTAAAAAGCTAGCTACTGACCCACATTAAACCAACCCCCTTGGAATGGAAGATAGAATAAAGGCATTACTTATAAGCAATACCTACATAGGTGAATGGATAACAAGATCAGAGGAACTTTTTTCGAAGGATATACCTACTCATCATGTGTACTGTGAATTATATAAAAAAAATCTGTCCTAGTTCTCATATTTACAAACATTCCACTAACCTGGTAGGTATCTGGTATCAGCAGTCCAGTATCACTTGTAACAGCAATAGATATGTCACCGACACTTCTTCAAAACAATATCGACTCTATCCAAACCCAAAAACCCGGCTGTCTTGCCGTTTGTCACGTAGGGAACGTGGAAATGGGTGGTTTCTAGAAGCACGAGCCTCGAACGAAAATAAAAATACCGTACCGGCCAGCTGATATGGCTGATAGCTGTTAGGTAGGTATACGGAATTTAACGCATGGGTTATGTTCTATAATCCAGCTGTTTGTGGCAGCTCACTCACCTGCCCGTTTACCATCTGCCTTTTCTTGTCTTGTGCCCATCGGACTGGATTTTCCGAATTGCTTTTTGCTTTGAAAACGCTATTACTAAGAGAAATGGCAACCGGTAAACGTTTGAAATCGACGTACCTACCTCTCATCTTCTGATCATCATCATTCAATGTAAAAGGCACAGCACAATAACTGAAATCCCACTTAAAATTTTTGAAATTTCATTCGACAATTTAATAACTCGAAATTGGATTCAAATAATGAGAAAAATCGCTAAAAATTATTGACCAACAGTACCAACAAAATGGCGGAAATTCACTTGACTTGACTTGACTTTGACAATGACGAGTCCGAGCGACAAATTTTGGAAGTGTCTACTGCCACAACCATACGGACATACAATTGCATTATTCTGTGTCGACGAGGATGTCCTGATGTCGACAACAAATCCAGTTATATTTTGATCAATGAAATGCGTATTGATATTCTCATTTTGATATTTCATTTGACAGGGTGAATATTTATTCAGGCGCATTTTTCCGTTTTAATCCTTTCCTAGTAATCAAATATCTGACAGTCTGATTCTTTGATTTGATTTTGAAAAAATGCGAATTTAGTGGTTGTTTATTTGTAATTTATGTAACCGCGAAGTGAAATAGAAAATGAATTGACTTGCAGTTCTATCACTTCATTCTCGGAGACCGTGTTATTGGCTGAAGATCCGGCAACTATTGCTTCCAAGTTCAATGATTTTTTCGTAAAGGCTCCTATCGAATTGGTTAAACAGATACCTCCAAGTCGCACAGATGTGTTTTGATTATGAATATCGCAGCGATGGAACGTTTGTGTCCATACCGCCATCTCTTCCAGGGCTCCAATACCAGCCAGGCAGATCAGAAACGAACGAGGGAGAAATGTTGACAACATAAATATGTACTTGGCAACATATCTCGAATGGGGATCCAATAACTTGGTAGATTTCAATGCAAACAAAACACAGGCATGCCTTTTCTCTAGAGAAGCCGATCTCACTGTGTCAAACATAAGCTTCTCAGGAGTAACCATACCTTTGAAGACATCCATTTCGATGCTTGTTATTACTATCAGCAATAACCTTTCTTGAGAAAATCACGTGAGATCAATTGCTAAAAGTGCATCCTAAAAACTTGGTTTTCTGTTTCGGGCCAGGAGCTATTTCACTTCCAGTCAGCTGCTTATGATCTATAAGGCACAGATCCGACCTGTCCTGGAATACTGTTTCCATATTTGAAGTGCAGCACCCAAACATTCCTTGAAACTGTTGGATTCTGTCCAAAAAAGGGTAATTCGTCTCGTGGGTGATGCATCGCTCACAAACTCACTCACTTCTCTGGAACACCGTAGAAAAGTTGGCGATCTGGCTCTATTTTATAGATATTTTCATGGACAATGCTCTTCTGAAATATCAACAATTGTTCCTCCCTTGGCAGTCCCCGCGAGATTAACCCGTCGAGTTGAGGCTTCGCATCCCTTCGTGGTCACTTTGGAGACCTGCAGAACATCTCTTTCCAAAGACTCGTTCATTCAAAGAACAGCGAGGCTCTGGAATACATTGCCAAGGGAGTTGTTCCCCGAGGCATATAACCTCCAGAAATTCAAGAAGAACACCAATTCCTACTTTATTTCCCTTGGTTCTCACGATGTTCTCTGAACATTACAGGATATCCCTTTTCGTGGGAACCAGAACATGAAAAAAAAAAGATATCGCACTGTTAGCCTAAACGCGACATCTTAGAGATGTTATCTGACAGATATGTTGGCTGGCATACTATCCATTGTGAGTATTTTCGGCTCAGATTTTCGCTGACATTACTGACCACCAGAATTTAGTGTGGAGTCAGCAATCTCAATGTTCAAGTGAACATATTTTTAGGGCATAAAATTGTTATAGTATCTTCAACGTAGTTATCAAGAATACTGATAATAATTAAAGAAATACTCACCGCTCTGGAAAATCTTCACAGTACAAGGAAATCATTCGTCAGGTTACGAAACAAACAACAACCTGTCAATCGATATATTACAAGAAATCAAGACAAAAACGCCCTGACAGTAGCCTGAATAGCACACCTGCACAGCGGACAGTCCTCCAAATTCAAAACGCAATTCCCGCAAGCGGCCAAATGTCCGCAAGGCAGAAAAACGATCCCCAACTCTCTGTCCATACAAATCTTACACAGCCTAGCCTCCTTCAGCTTCCTGTTCTCATTCTCCAACGAACAGAGCAGCAACGCCGCAGCCTTGGTGCTCGCTTGGTCGCCAGCCTGCTTCTCCATCTCCTCCACAATATCCACCACCTCCTGCCTAAAGTCCCTCTCTTCGACAGGTCCGTCGTTCTCCGTCGCCCCACTCTTGCCCTCCTCCTCTTCTTCTTCGTCGGGCAGCTTCAACGCAGCTTCGACCAGGCTGTCTGCGGTGGAGAAGGCGGTGCCTGTGAGCTGCAGCTTCTCTTTAATTGCACGTTTGACGCAAGCCTGGCTGAAGCCGGCGCTCAGGGCGGCCAAGGCTTGCGGGCCGCATAGGTGGCCTTGGATTTGGCTCTCGGTGACGTCGTGGGGCTTGGAAGGTCGTTTGTGTTTCACCGAAGGTCTCTGCAAGGACAAGAACGTGTGGTCATGTGACGGGTTCATGTACGAGGTGAAGGCGAAACAAGCGTCTAGCCAGGGCCTACTTTATCTCACCGGGCCGTAGTCTATCCCCTCTACCTCGATGCTGACGTCACACTAGTAGGTTGAGATTTCACATTATTTCATATAGGTGCGTTCGTAATTGAAAGGTTATAGCTCATTTACTTTAAAAATTAGAAGCACACTCAATCGAGACGAATTGATCCCTGATGAACTAGGTACCCAACTTTCGGAAAAAAAAATTCATTAGGATGAACCAGTACCGATTTATGGTGTGAAGAAATTGAATTTTAATGAAAATCAGGACGTTGTACTACGGAATAATATTTTTTGGAATCAGTTTAAAATGAAACTGACTGAGTATGTCAAACTAGGATAATGCATCAATTAAATAGTGAGAAGATTTTTGAGCTACCTACAATGAGTCCGAAATAAATTAGAAATAAAGAGATATGAAATATAGCGGGATTCAGTTAAACATTAAGAAAAGAAGAATCATCAGACTTTCCGGATGGATCTGAAGCTTTGAGCCCATTTTTTAGTTTGTGATATATATATTTTGTTATAAGTACATGCTGTATTGTAATATCTGGCCATGTTTTCCCTTTTATTATGTTGAATAGTTTCAGAATGGCTTCCGTTTAGTATTGTATGTATGAGAACTACATATTTTTTGTTCTTTTTAATTTTCATATTTTGAAAATGTTTTCGAATCAATTTATCTTCATTAATATGAGATTATTTCTAAAAAATATATTCCATACCTGAAAATAATTAATTCGCTGTCAGGGTTTTCGCGTAATAACTTCTACTCGGGTAGGTATATAATTCGTAACTTCATCAAAGTGTGTCCAGATTATCTTTAGACATAAACGCTGCTAAAATCCTCTGAGATACAGTAAAAGTGTATCATATCGATTTGTAGGCAATGAAATTCACTACAAAAAAGTCAGTGACAGCATATATCCACAGCCCCACAACTAATAGATTTAGTATGGGGGCCGTCTAAACTTTTTGAACTAGTCTGTAATAATCATCTGAATCACCATTTTACTTGAATTGAAATATCGGTTTGTTATTGGCTCTTGGGAATTTTGAAAAAAATCACAGTCAATCTAGATACTATGAGAAGCCTTTGCATGGTTGAATCATTTCTGTGAATTGAATATTGAAATTCTAGCAGCTGTTTAAAAAACAACAATTCTGAATGTAGTCAATTCATTTTGATATGCTATATTTCTCAAACTATTAATCGTAAATCAGTGAATATTGTTTCATCTCTTGAAAAAGTCTAGTCTGTACATATTTGACTGTTACCGTTATCCCGTGGTACATCAATGAATTGGGAAACGCAATTTCCAGCGCCTCGATTTTGTCCCTACTAGTGTGACGTCACGAAAACGATGCTCCGGCCCTGTGAGATATAGAGTAGGCCCTGGTCTAACTGTACCATTTCCATAGGGGGCTCTCTGAATTCCGAAGACGTAATACAAGGAAAGAAAATATCCTTTTTATTTTGCGGTACCTAACTTTTTCTCTCGTATTTTTTATGCTTGGTAGGTCAGGCAGCCGCGTGATTGAAGCGTTAGTTTACTATCGCGTTCGCTTGCCGATCGTGGGTTCAGATCCCAGATTGCAGACATTTTTCTGATGGCCTGATAAGTCTCTTGAAGACTTCTGAGGGTTGCTCGTTAGAGGGCAACCGAATGACGGATGAGAACAATTATTTTAGAAAGCAAATGATGAAATTCTGAACTATTCGAATTTCTTGTTCTATTTCGTCGTAAAATATGGTAAAAACATGGTGAAAACGCATAACCTTTGAAACAATGAACAGTTCTGAAAACAGAATTGAAAATAATATATGTATAGGAGTACTTACTGGAAAACTTTGTTCATATTCCACGAATACCTCTACAGGATTCCTAAGTTTTTAACTGTGTATAAAACTCGTTGAAATAAACAGCTTTTTCAAATAACTTTTGTCTAATACGGATTTATAGAAGGTCGTTTATAGAAGTGTTCAACTAACTGATTGGTACAATGCCAGATATATAAGACAAACACAGACTATAGGTATACGTGTAGATAAACAAATCCGGATTTACTTTATTTATTCTGTATCTCGCTTATTTTTCAGTTTTTTGAAAAACGATAATTGAAAAGTTTGTGTATTTTAACGAGTTCTATACCTACACAGTGAAAAAAGTATCAACTTAGAAATCACCCTGTATACCATGTACTTGATGAATTTATTATATTATACAGGTGTTTGGTTTGGCATTATTAATGCACTGTTTCATGCAAAATTTGCAGTGAAATATCTTCAAGTATATTTTTATTTGATTGATTTTTTTCTTTTATTTTTGTTTTTCATCTTGTTATCAGCCTATTTTATTCATCGCCCCAATTTCGGGAACACACTGTACATTCGACTAGCATATACATTTTGTTAGGTAATTAGTAGGTTAATTACCAGAAGTTAATCGATTTATGATACTGAAATATTACGAAATTTCTCGAACAATTGAGTTATCTAAAGTAAAAAATACCTCATTCACATAAATTTGAATAATAAACGTGTCTTATCAACTGGAATTATTCGTATACACGTCACACGTCATGTTACGAGACTTTCACGAATGGACACATACAGGGTGGTCTAATTGCAAATAACAACCTACCAACCTACCCTAAGATAATTCAGACACTGAATTTTTTTAATAAGTATATATTATTATATATGATGGTGTTAATAACGTCAAATAATATTTCACGGGAAATGTCAATTTTGCGTTGAAATTTGACAGCTCATGCTGCAAATCTCAAACTAGCCGTACGAGTTGCGAGTTCGAAACTATACTTTTTTTACTGCCTTAACAGATAATCTCTTCAGACCAAAAGCCGGAAATAGAACACTGTTTTATTAGGATCAAAAGTGACACTGTATTTGACAAGCGATTTTGCATTTGCGAGGCGGAGCGTTTAGCGAAGCCGAGCGAAAGCAAAATTTGCGAGTCGAACAAAGTCACTTTTGATCCGAATAAAACATGCTATTTTTTCTGCAACCGAAACAATTAACACAAATAAACATGTGAAGTGACCACCAATGCAGTGCCATATGTATGCAATGCAACAAATATTGACAAATAATCCATGTGGTGAGAATATTCTACCTGCATTACCAGCAGCTTAGGTTTTCTAGGATGTTCGAATTGTAGTTTCAATATAAATACAACCACAGAGTGACAAATTTGTGTATGGACCAGGTGCTCTAATGGCAAATACCGCGCCAGTGCCAGCTATAGGAACAAGACGTGGAAAATGTTAGGTTAGTGAGCATATCAACAATGATAATAGTGATTATTTATTCCTCTCCATACTACACTGTGTTTGACTTGATAATCAAATGAAGCTAAACAATATCGTTGTTTGAAACAAAAAAACTATTGCTTGCCGTGATTATTCAAAAACAAGTTATCCATCCCGAGAATAACGAATGAAATACAGATCAAACAAGTATTTGAATCTTGAAGGCTTCCCTGATCAAAACAAAAATACTTGACTGAGATGTTCATAATTTCAATACTAAACTATAATAAGGTGTATTTATATCTCCAGCATGGGTATGAAATGCCAAATCTGCTGAAATCGGAAACAAATCAGGTATGCGTCTCAACCCAAATAACCAACCGTCACAATGTTGTTTATTCTTGATGACGTCCAGTACATCCTTTTTAGTTCCTAGGAGCTGAAGTTCAACTTTAGCTCCTAGGAACTAAAATTCAACTTTAGCTCCTAGGAACTAAATATGTTGCCTAGCAACATACCTATTTTTGTGTCAGTAATATATAGAAACGTCAATTTAAGAGCTAATTTTGGTATCAAAATGGACGACTTTTGTGTCGGTTGCAGAAAAAAATGCTTTTTTATAAAAAGTGACGTTTTGTTACCTGATGTCTTGATGTCTACACTAAAAGAAAATAATTTAATGTATTTGTATTGGTATACATTGGTATGCCCTGTATAGTGTATGACCTGTGTCCTGGAACAAGAATATTTTGCATACAATGCTCAGGCCATCAGAATATCTTCAAGCACAGATAGTGTTTTTTAAGTAGCGCATTATAAGATAATCAAGTGTGCTGAATATGGAAATGCGGGATGTGCACATGACAGTTCTGTTATGAACACTTCATCAGCTTTTGTTTCGACTGTTCAAGACATCATATAAATGAAACAATACGAAGAAAATAGTACGGGACATGGAAGATAAAAGTAAAACAAAATGTTACCCAATTTCCATGATTTATCAAAATGTTCCAATACTTTTCCAATACCTACTATCATCTACAACTCTATATATCATTTCTAGCTCCCAAAAGGTCAACTGGAACACGTCTAGTCCAAGCCGCACTAAAAGCACTAAAATCTTTCGTTTTCACATCAAAGAATACATGGGACTGCTTTGAAACATTCATGCAACTGGGAAAGGGCAACAAAGTCACACTTATGTTATGTGGGTTCCAGGGCATGAAGGAAGGCCTTGCAAAAAAAAGTGCAGCATCTGCACTTTTTGGTCCTGAGCCTTTTTGTGGGATAAGCAAATGTCACCTAAAGGGAGAACTCAGGAAATGGGAAGAAATCGAAAAGTCCTCCTACTGGAGAGCAACTCCAGGTCAACGACAAGCGAAAAGGTTCATCAACCATTCGAAGAACCGAGCCAAAGAGCTACTCAGCCTCAGCAAACCAGAGCTAAAGCTTATCACAGGCTTTCTCACAGGACACGGCCCTCTGAGGTACCACCTCAAAAAGATGGGCCTGGCGGAGACACTTGCCGCTTTTGTAACAATGCGACCGAAACCGCGGAACACATACTTTGCTCATGTGAAGTATTAATCCGCCAAAGGCTGAACCACCTGGAACAGGTCTATCTCACCCCTGCTGAAGTAGACAATTCAACC